TCTGCTGCGTGAGATCACGTGAGGCGCTCCCTCTGGCATGATAATTTTAATAATATCTTGTCGTGTGTGATGCGCCACGGTGTTAAAATCTTGTTGTGTGTGCATGTTTAAGATTTGAGGGAAGATAATCTGCAAAGATTCTCCTTATGTGTGTGCTGCAACCAGATTTCATAATCAGTTAGGATTTTAAAACTCCTGTAGTGTGAGCCCGGCTTAACATAGATTTAGACAGATTTGTGAACAATATTTGAGAGAAATAGGCCTTTTGTGTACATAGAAAAAGTCTTCGATCTTTGAGTTCAGCTCATGAAAAATGGGGGCAAAAACAAAAGTGTTGCGTTTATAATTTTGTTCAGTGTATTTGTAAATGTGTACATATGTAAATTTGTTTATTCGTAAATGATGTTTTAGATGCTGTTAAATCAGTATTATACATTTTATTGTCTATGTAAATGTACATGATAGAACAACACTTTTATTTAAAATACATACCAATACTAATGGAATCATGTTGGACAGTCACTTTGTGTTCATACCTTAACAAACTGTCAGATATGTTACTGAACTAACAGAGTGCATCAAGGTCAAATCATCAGACGAGGATGTTGATGATTCAAGTGAATTTGTGAAGTTCTTCCCTAGTTTCATCTGGGCTGTGAGGGACTTCACCCTGGAGCGAAAGATTGATGGCAAAGATGCAACAGAGAATGATTACCTAGAGTTCGCTTTGAAGCTGAAACATGGTAGTTTAAATATAGTACAAAATATTATTTTAAGAGCCCTTACAATCACTATCACAATGAGCTCTTGTAATGAGTTTTTCCAAACTTAATCTTACTTAAACAGAACCAGAATAAGTGGTATAAGTGTAAGAACCTAGCTGCTAAGTTTTGGGGGTACTGCAATTTGTTTAAAGTGACTTCTCTAAAAAAGACAAAGGTATCAGTTTCAAATCAGTTTTTCTGCTACTGAAAAGGATAGCATAGGATCCAAGTTTGCAATATGTCTAAAGTTTAAAAAAGGAAATCTTAACTGTATATTGCACATGGGGGTTAAATGTCAAAGAAGAATCCAAGATCACTCCAAGATTCAGATTCAGATTTATTCAGCACAGAGCCATCAATAGTTGTAAGGGGTATTGAGCCAATGTTATGGAGCTGGTGAGGAAAGCTGAGAAGCATAACTTCAGTCTTAGATTAAAAAAAAGTCATGGTCAGCCATAACCCAACCATGAGGAGCAAGTGATATTCAGTGTCTTGCCCAAGGACACTTCATCAACTGGTAAGGTGAAACTGGGATTCAAGCTGTGAAAACTCACAGTCAACATATCTGCTCCCCGAGCCAGGGTTGTTCATCCACAGCAGATTGTGTTCTCCCTGTTCCAACTCTATATCAGCGGTTCTCAATTCCAGTCCTTGTGACTCAACACAGTTAAACTTCAGACATTTGTTCTATTCGACTATAAGTGCCCTGCGAAGTGGACATTACAGGATATTCCGCTATGATTCCAGTTCAAAGGGAGCTTATGTGTTCCATTCAAAGTGCATTAAAGTGTGTGAGACCTGAATTTAAATTGTATTTATTTACAGAGGTATATTACGTCAAACTTCATACTTCTCTAGTAAGTTTCGCCTGTGTGTGAAGAAGCTGCAAGCCGTGGCGTAGTGCAAATCCGTGAATTAATGTTCTGAAATGAAGTAAACTTCAACAGATTTCCTGTGCTCAGGGAGTAGGGAGCAATGAACAATCATGCATGGAGCTCTCTTCTAACGAGCTGGTTATCATGGGGGAGCGGGGGGGGACTGTAATTGAGAACCACTGCTATAGATAATAGCATAAATTTGTAATACAATGTGGATGAAAGGGTTCAAAGTAGAGAAAAAAAAGTCCAGTGACAATGTGATCCAGACGAGTAGCTGAAACAGCTAAACTCTGCTCAAAGGACAGACACTCTTTTTTAACTTTACAAATCTCTAGAACTGAGAAAAGCTACAGCATGTGTTCATCTGTTCTAGGAACTTCAAAAAAAGTGATGGAGTACAACCTTCCGAGGGAGTGCATTCAAAAATTCTTCCCCTCCAGGACGTGCTTTACTTTCCCTTTTCCAACCGCCCCAGAGAATGTGTCTCATCTGGAGCGCTTGGATCTTGCTGACCTTTCCACTGAGTTCCTGGAGGTTACAGGACGTTTCTGCACGTTTGTTTTTGACCAGAGTGATGTGAAGAAGCTGAAGGATGGATACACAGTCACTGGCAGAGGTGATTCAAAAAGACTTTCGAAGAGTTTGCATATGTGCTTTCAGTGGATTATCTATTGCTCAATCATTTTGTTTAACTTCTTTCCACTTTTGAAAGTTTTGGGTCATCTAGCAAAAATGTACATGGACACCATCTCTAGTGGGGCTGTGCCGTGTCTGGAGAATGCTGTGATTGCCATGGCAATGATTGAGAATCAAGCTGCGGTGAAGGAGGGGTTTGAGGTGTACCAAAGTGGAATGGAGAAGCTGAAGAACTCCTTCCCTTTGGAATTAAAGGTTGTGTCCTCGGAACACCAACGTCTCAGCAGCATGGCAACACAAACCTTCATGACTCGATCTTTCAGGGACACTGACGGGAAGCACCTGAAATCTCTAGAGGTAGGCTGGATATCTTGCTGAGGAGGTGCTTTGAGCTTACTGATAGAGAGATGTTCTTTCAGAGTAGTGAATGAGATCTGGACATTCTCTCTGATTCCATCTTCTCATATACTGTATGTCATTCTGTGCTGACAGTGTTATTCCAAATAAACAAGTCAGACCAAATAGCAAGCCCTAAGTCACCAAAAAACTGAAACACTGTCTGTATGTTTTTTTTAGGAAAAAGTTAATGAACTCTTTGATGGATACCTGTGCCAAAATGAGCAAGCTGAAGCGGTCTTAGAAGAGTTTCTGAAGCAGAAGTCTGTGGATTCTAAAGCTATTCTGCAGGCCGACAAAAAACTGACTGAGAAGGAAAAAAAGATTAAAGGTACGAGTTCCCTGTTCTTAAATTCTTACCAGGTTACTTGTTAAAGAGGTGCTCAAAGGTTTAGGTACTTTTTTAGCTGATCAGTTTAAAATGCAGCTAAGAGTAGCAATAAATGATAGAAGGAGGTTCAAGGGTCCAAGAATAATTTTGCTTTCAAAAATGTCACATTCAGTAAGTTATTGACTCAAAAAAGTGCTCCATAAAAGAAAACAAAGTCTTTCATAGAAGTGTACTGAGTAATTCAAAATATTACCTTGCAATTCATATCTGCCTTACAGTAAAATAGACTGCTAATCTCATGGTTTCAGTCTTTTATCTCTAAAGCATCCTTTCCTTCCTCCTGTTTTCGTCAATGACCAGAGGAAACAGAGAAAGCGGTCATCCTGGAGCAGAAAATCAAAGCTAAAGAGGAGACACAGCGACAGCTGCAAGAGAAAATGGAAGCAGAAAGACAGAGTAATGAAGAGCGGATGATACAGATGAAGGAGAAGATGGATGAGGAGATGAGGCTTCAGAGAGAGGAGGCCCAACGTGCCATGGACAGCAAACTGAGGGAGCAGGCCGCGCTGCTGGAGAAGGGCTTTCAGGAGAAGGCTGACAGGATGAGCCAGGAGATGGAAGAGTTCAAGAGACAGAACGCTGAAGCTGAGAGTAATAGAGTTCGAGAGTTTGCAGAGCTGTTAGAGAACTCCAGCAAGAGAAATGAGGAGTCTATGGCTATGATGATGCAGCAGCACCGTGAACAGATGAAGGCTTTACAGCAGCAGATGAGAGCGCGCTCTGCAGGCGGATGTTGCATCTTGTGAAATGCATTAACTCTGTGGTCATCAGAGTCATGTAATTGAACAATGCAGTTTACTTACTTTAAAATGATTCAGTACCTAATTCCAGTCCTGGAGATCGACAGTCGTGCAGACTTCAGCTTCAACCCTGATAAAACCTCACCTGCCTGTAGCTTTCTAGTAACCCTTTAGACCTTGATATTAGCTTGTTCAGGTGTGTTTGATTAGAGTTGAAGCAAAACTCTGCAGGACTGCGGCTCTCCAGGACCGGCGTTCACCACCCTGCTCTACACAATGACATTGAAAGTATTGTCTTTATATATAAAAAACAATTAAATGTAATGCTAACTATCATTATTCAGAAAAGTATTTGACCCATCACAAAAGACCCGCCCCCTTAGTTACTGTTGCTACATCCAACAAGCCATGGCACTCACTCCACACATCACATTCTCATGCAGTAAGAAATATATCGCAGAGCACAGAGGACACTGACAACATGCCAAAAGACAAGACACAGCAGGTTATTTTTGGTATAAAACAAAGTGTCAGTTTTCAAATTTACTCATTTTTTTAAAGAAATTCAAATAACAATAGTGTTTTGTGGTTCTTTAATTTGTCATGACAGATCGCTGTTGTGCCTCAGTTCAAGCGGCACGTGAACCGATTATCTATTCCTCTTTAATAGTTATAGCACGAAATAACCCACCCTCGTGTCATTCCAAACCCTTAAGATCTTCGTTCATCTTCAGAACACAAATTGAGATATTTTTGATGAGATCCGAGAGCTTTCTGACCCTCCCATAGACAGCAAGGGAACTGCCACGTTCAAGGCCCAGAAAGGTAGTAAGTATATTGACAAAATAGTGCATGTGACATCAGCGGTTCAACCATAATTTTAAGATACAAGAATACTTTTTGTGCACAAAGAAAACAAATTTCAGTCAACAATTCTACTAGTTCAGGTACCATCTACTGCCATTATCAAGAGTAACACAACACATGCGTTGCGCCTTGTTTACATGCAGAGGAAAGAACATGCATGCGTCGTGTTACTCTCGATAATGGCGGTAGATGGTAACTCGGAGAGAAGAATCGTTGAATAAAGTTGTCAAGTTTTGTTTTTTTTGTGCACAGAAATCATTATCATAGCTTCATAAAATTACGTTTGAACCACTGATGTCACATGGACTATTTTGTCGTTGTTCTTGGTACCTTTCTGGGCCTTGAACGGGGCAGTTCGCTTGCTGTCTATGGTGAGTCTGAAAGCCCTCAGATCGCATCAAAAATCTTAATTTGTGTTCCGAAGATGAATGAAGGTCTTATGCCAGAATTTTTATTTTTGGGTGAACTATCCCTTTAACTGCTTTGAATATCAGACCAATATCTGGCACATCCTGACAGAGAGAGATAGTGAAGACTGGATCTAAAACATTTGATTCATTAACTTTTCACATAATGTATTACACTGATACATGTATTTATCATTTGGCCATGAAATTTACTTTAAAAGAATGCTAAAGACTCTAAATGGGACACTATACCAGCCATTCAGTGTAATTGAGTTTTGAAAAACCTTTGACTGAAGAACTTCTAGCACAGCGTAAAACTGGTATCGAGCCAATCTCAGATCTATGCAAGAGATATATTTAGCTGTGCTACATTTGTACTCCTTCGTAATTGTCAATTCATATTTCATGTTAAGCCTAGTTCACACTACACTAATTAAAACATCGGCAGATTGCTCTGCTGTTCAGACTACATGACTTGCTGTCTCTCTTGAAGTCATTATGGTGTTCACACTACATGACATTACATAAATTATCTGCAACAGGGGCTCACACACTACACGAGCTGACAACAACTCTGTCACCCAACGACTCTATCCCATCCCCAAACCATATTTTGTCACAAAAACAAACATGAGAAGTTGAACGGGAATGTCACGAAAAAACAAGTGAAACGGGAGTTGTTTATTTGAAATGAACAACGGGAAGAAATTAGTGCTACAAGCTGTTTGCGCGATGAAAAAAATTAACTTAATTTCTTGTTTCCAAACTTCTTAAAGCTGTGTTGCTGCTGCTGTTTTTCTTCTGCGGAACTCAACCCATGCCTTGCTCTCTCATTGGTTGTAGCTCGACGCGACACCTGACACCACGTGATGTTGAGTCGGCTGACCGGTCCAGATATTTAGCATGCTAGATATTCGTTTGTCATCGGCGACGTGTCAGCGAGCCTCTTTGATGCGTTGTTGAGTAGTTCACACATAAAAGATTGCTGAGCGCTGATCACCCGCTGATTTTCCCCCGATCACAGCCCGACCTGTTGGTGAGCTCATTAGCTTGCAAATCGGGCTTAAAATCCTGTAGTGTGAACTAGGCATTACAGGCACATTACAATTAATCATGGTCAGGTCATTTCATGGACATTTTATATATATCGTTATATACATCGCTCATCCAGAAGGATTTTCAGTATTCATCAGCCGGCGCCTACTGTGATTCCGTGCATCTGGTCTAGCAAAAGGGCTCTGAGTAAGCCGAAATGTTCTCAAAGGAACTGTCATACACTGCGATCACTTGTCAACATAAATAGGATCGACTACGAGGATAACGTTACCTCTGCTGGTAGCCTATTGGAGAAACATTGTGGTCTTCTGAATTTTCGCTCCATCTCTGACAAAGGCTCCTATATAAACGAACTAGCTATTGCCAATAACCTGGATATGCTATTTCTTACCGAGACCTGGCAGTCACCTAATGACTTTTTGCATCTCAATCTGCTTACACCAACCAGATATCAATGTGTCTAAACTGCATTCAACTGGCAAAAGGCGTTTTCTTGCAGTCATTTATCGTGACTCCATAACACTTACCAAACTGGATTTTCATAATACCTGTACATTTGAGTTCATGGTTATGAAGGTTGGCCTAAAATGTCCCCGCATAATTATCCTAATTTATAGACCACCCAAGCAGCAAACTGAATTCTTCTCTGAACTCAGTGAATTGCTAACCTTAGCCTGTGCTGTGTCGTCCCAGGTTATCCTACTTGGTGACTTTAACATACATGTTGATACTGTCTGCCCTAATACTACTCTGCTAAAGACTGTACTGGATTGCTTCGATCTTATTCAGAATGTTAATTTTCCAACTCATACTCATGGTCATACACTTGATCTGGTTTGTACATCTCGTTTGAATAATATCTCCGTCAACAGCCTGGCTATTACTATCTCTGACCACAAGCTTATTACTTTTGACTTTACATTAATCTGTCCAGCTAAATGCACTGATAACATAACCATATCGTATTGTCATGTAAATGCTGTTGATATCAGTACATTCTCTGCTTCTGTTGCTTCCTCTGCTATCCCTGAAGTTTTAAATCTTACCTGTCCATCTATGATTTATGATATGTATCATTCTCTTATTGCTAACATTTAATGCAGAGCTTCGCACTATGAAAGCAAAATGCAGACAACATGAACGTCTTTTCAGGAAAACAGGTCTAACTGTCCATTTTCTTGTTTATTCTGACCATATTAAGCACTATAAAACTGCCTTGAATGCAGCCCAATCTTCTTATATCTCCAGCATCATTGGCAAAGCTAATAATAGGCCTAAAGCACTATTTAGCATGGTAAACAAATTAACCCAGGCACCAAACCATAGTATTAGCCAACGATGATTTGTGTTGTATCTTCTTGCACCACTTTCAGGGAAAGTTGGAAGCTTTATGTGGGACCTTTGGTGAGGAACCGATTATTTCTAATTGTGAGCAAACTCAGTCTAACCAATCATTGACTATTTTTACCTTGACAAATCCACCTCAAATTACCGATTTAATACAGAAATTGAATTCCTCTTCAAGCCGGCTAGACCCTGCACCTGCTTTCCTCCTGAAACACTGTACCTCTGTCATTTCTGCCCCTATCTCACACCTCATCAACATGTCTTTTATTTCTTCCACTGTTCAGATTTCACTCAAGACTGCTACTGTTAAAAAAAAAAAAGAATTTGGATCCTGTAAACCTATCTAACTACCGTCAAATTTCTAACTTGTCATTTGTATAAACAATTATGTAAAGGGCTGTTGTCTCTCAGCTGCAGTCATCTCTAGCCCGCAACAATCTTTTTGATATTTTTCAGTCTGGTTATTCATTTAGATCCAAAGAGGTATTCTTTATAAAAGTTAAGAGTCGATCAGTTGATCAGACACACCTACCTAAAACAGTTAATTCTAACACGCCCCCACGTCTACATCACTATGTGGGAAGATTTG